CTATCCCTCTATCTCCCCCTACATTATATCACTATCCCTCTCTCTCCCCCTACTTTCTATCCCTCTCTCTCTCCCTACATTATATCACTATCCCTCTCTCTCCCCTACTTTCTATCCCTCTCTCTCTCCCTACCTTATATCACTATCCCTCTCTCTCCCCTACTTTCTATCCCTCTCTCTCCCCTACATTATATCAGTATCCCTCTCTCTCCCCTACTTTCTATCCCTCTCTCTCTCTCCCTACATTATATCACTATCCCTCTCTTTCCCCTACTTTCTATCCCTCTCTTTCCCCCTACATTCTATCCCTCTCTCTCCCCCTACATTCTATCCCTCTCTCCCCCCTATTTTCTATCCCTCTCTCTCTCCCTACATTATATCACTATCCCTCTCTTTCCCCCTACATTCTATCCCTCTCTTTCCCCTACTTTCTATCCCTCTCTCTCTCCCAACATTATATCACTATCCCTCTCTTTCCCCTACATTCTATCCCTCTCTCTCCCCTATTTTCTATCCCTCTCTCTCTCCCTACATTATATCACTATCCCTCTCTTTCCCCCTACATTCTATCCCTCTCTCTCCCCTACTTTCTATCCCTCTCTCTCTCCCTACATTATATCACTATCCCTCTCTATCCCCTACTTTCTATCCCTCTTTTTCCCCCTACATTCTATCCCTCTCTCTCCCCCTACATTCTATCCCTCTATCTCCCCCTACATTATATCACTATCCCTCTCTCTCCCCCTACTTTCTATCCCTCTCTCTCTCCCTACATTATATCACTATCCTTCTCTCTCCCCTACTTTCTATCCCTCTCTCTCTCCCTACCTTATATCACTATCCCTCTCTCTCCCCTACTTTCTATCCATCTCTCTCCCCCTACATTATATCAGTATCCCTCTCTCTCCCCTACTTTCTATCCCTCTCTCTCTCCCTACATTATATCACTATCCCTCTCTTTCCCCTACTTTCTATCCCTCTCTTTCCCCCTACATTCTATCCCTCTCTCTCCCCCTACATTCTATCCCTCTATCTCCCCCTACATTATATCACTATCCCTCTCTCCCCCTACTTTCTATCCCTCTCTCTCTCCCTACATTATATCACTATCCCTCTCTCTCCCCCTACATTCTATCACTATCCCTCTCTCTCCCCTACTTTCTATCCCTCTCTCTCTCCCTACATTATATCACCATCCCTCTCTCCCCCTACTTTCTATCCCTCTCTCTCTCCCTACATTATATCACTATCCCTCTCTCTCCCCTACTTTCTATCCCTCTCTCTCCCCCTACATTCTATCACTATCCCTCTCTCTCCCCTACTTTCTATCCCTCTCTTTCCCCCTACATTCTATCCCTCTTTCTCCCCCTACATTCTATCCCTCTATCTCCCCCTACATTATATCACTATCCCTCTATCTCCCCCTACATTATATCACTATCCCTCTCTCTCCCCTACTTTCTATCCCTCTCTCTCCCCCTACATTATATCACTATCCCTCTCTCTCCCCTACTTTCTATCCCTCTCTTTCCCCCTACATTCTATCCCTCTCTCTCCCCCTACATTCTATCCCTCTATCTCCCCCTACATTATATCACTATCCCTCTCTCTCTCCCTACATTATATCACTATCCCTCTCTCTCCCCTACTTTCTATCCCTCTCTTTCCCCCTACATTCTATCCCTCTCTCTCCCCCTACATTATATCACTATCCCTCTCTCTCTCCCTACATTATATCACTATCCCTCTCTCTCCCCCTACATTCTATCCCTCTATCTCCCCCTACATTATATCACTATCCCTCTCTCTCCCCCTACATTATATCACTATCCCTCTCTCTCCCCCTACTTTCTATCCCTCTCTCTCCCCTACTTTCTATCCCTCTCTCTCCCCCTACATTATATCACTATCCCTCTCTCTCCCCTACTTTCTATCCCTCTCTCTCTCCCTACATTATATCACTATCCCTCTCTCTCCCCTACTTTCTATCCCTCTCTTTCCCCCTACATTCTATCACTATCCCTCTCTCTCCCCCTACATTCTATCCCTCTTTTTCCCCCTACATTATATCACTATCCTTCTCTCTCCCCTACTTTCTATCCCTCTCTTTCCCCCTACATTCTATCACTATCCCTCTCTCTCCCCCTACATTCTATCCCTCTCTCTCCCCCTACATTATATCACTATCCTTCTCTCTCCCCTACTTTCTATCCCTCTCTCTCCCCTACTTTCTATCCCTCTCTCTCCCTACATTTATATCACTATCCCTCTCTCTCCCCTACTTTCTATCCCTCTCTCTCCCTACATTATATCATTATCCCTCTCTCTCCCCTACTTTCTATCCCTCTCTCTCTCCCTACCTTATATCACTATCCCTCTCTCTCCCCTACTTTCTATCCCTCTCTCTCCCCCTACATTATATCAGTATCCCTCTCTCTCCCCTACTTTCTATCCCTCTCTCTCTCCCTACATTATATCACTATCCCTCTCTTTCCCCTACTTTCTATCCCTCTCTTTCCCCCTACATTCTATCCCTCTCTCTCCCCCTACATTCTATCCCTCTATCTCCCCCTACATTATATCACTATCCCTCTCTCCCCCTACTTTCTATCCCTCTCTCTCCCTACATTATATCACCATCCCTCTCTCTCCCCCTACATTATATCACTATCCCTCTCTCTCCCCTACTTTCTATCCCTCTCTCTCTCCCTACATTATATCACCATCCCTCTCTCCCCCTACTTTCTATCCCTCTCTCTCTCCCTACATTATATCACTATCCCTCTCTCTCCCCTATTTTCTATCCCTCTCTCTCCCCCTACATTCTATCACTATCCCTCTCTCTCCCCTACTTTCTATCCCTCTCTTTCCCCTACATTCTATCCCTCTCTCTCCCCCTACATTCTATCCCTCTATCTCCCCCTACATTATATCACTATCCCTCTCTCTCCCCTACTTTCTATCCCTCTCTCTCCCTACATTATATCACTATCCCTCTCTCTCCCCTACTTTCTATCCCTCTCTCTCCCCCTACATTATATCACTATCCCTCTCTCTCCCTTACTTTCTATCCCTCTCTTTCCCCCTACATTCTATCCCTCTCTCTCTCCCCCTACATTCTATCCCTCTATCTCCCCCTACATTATATCACTATCCCTCTCTCTCTCCCTACATTATATCACTATCCCTCTCTCTCCCCTACTTTCTATCCCTCTCTCTCCCCTACATTATATCACTATCCCTCTCTCTCTCTCCCTACATTATATCACTATCCCTCTCTCTCCCCTACTTTCTATCCCTCTCTCTCCCCTACATTATATCACTATCCCTCTCTCTCTCCCTACATTATATCACTATCCCTCTCTCCCCTACTTTCTATCCCTCTCTCTCCCCCTACATTATATCACTATCCCTCTCTCTCTCCCCTACTTTCTATCCCTCTCTTTCCCCCTACATTCTATCACTGTCCCTCTCTCTCCCCCTACATTCTATCCCTCTCTCTCCCCCTACATTATATCACTATCCTTCTCTCTCCCCTACTTTCTATCCCTCTCTCTCCCCTACTTTCTATCCCTCTCTCTCCCTACATTATATCACTATCCCTCTCTCTCCCCTACTTTCTATCCCTCTCTCTCCCCCTACATTATATCACTATCCCTCTCTCTCCCCTACTTTCTATCCCTCTTTTTCCCCCTACATTCTATCCCTCTCTCTCCCCCTACATTCTATCACTATCCCTCTCTCTCCCCTACTTTCTATCCATATCTCTCTCTCCCCCTACTCTCTTTCTCTATCAATCTCTCTCTCTCTCTCCTAATCTCTATCCCCATCTCTCTCTCCCCTTCTCTCTATCCCTCTCTCTTTCTCTATCAATCTCTCTCTCTCCTAATCTCTATCCCCATCTCTCTCTCCCTTACTCTCTATCCCTCTCTCTTTCTCTATCAATCTTTCTCTCCTAATCTCTATCTCCATCTCTCTATTTATTCCTATCTCTCTCACTTCCTCTCTCTACCCCTCTCCCTCTCTCCCCATTCCATCTCTACTTGTTACTCAAACACTTTTTTTTCAATTCCTATTGTTACACATAAATAGGTTGTTAACGGTCTTCAATACAATATTTTTTCTCATTAATCTTGAATTTATTCACAATAAAAGAAGCAATTTGTTCAGATCATCTACAAATCTGTTATAATCATGTTAGGGGTTTAGCAAAGATGTCTAAAAGAATTTTAAAAACCACTTCAAATCAAATATAATGGAAATGATTTTAGCACTTGTGGAAGAGCAAGATTTTTACAATTCTAAATCATGGTTGTTTTTAAATTATTAGTTCTTCTCTTTTTCGTTTTCTTTTGGAGTAAACGACAACAAGTACAAGTATTGTAATACTTTGTTTAATCCAACTTTGGTTTTGGTTTCATTCATGTACGACTCATGATAAAACGTCATAGGGTAGATTTTAAACAGTACATTTCTGCAATACGGCAAATAACAATTGCTAAAGATTGCTTTTTTCAAAACAGTAACGATGCATGCTATTGGCTGAATCACTTAATAGGCAGAATCAATGACATACCGGTACAATATATTATACTGTAATCCACTTTGGTTTGGCTTGGTTTGTTTTACCCGACTACTAAAAGATTGTCCTCTCCGAGGGACTTGGTAATGAGGATTAATGCCTCACCACAGGGTACTAGCACATCGACTTGGTTTCGAATCCAGGGCCTCCCAGTTACGAGACCGGTCCTCTACAACTTTAATAGCCATCGCATCTCTTTGTACAGTACAAGTGCAAAGAGATTGAATAAAGAACATTGAACCTTATTCATATTGGACTTGTTTATATAATACCACAGACTTGCATGTACAAGCTTTCAGGTTGTCAAGAACAGATTTTGTTTAAAAAGTATGCATACATTTTTAATATGTTAGTAAACCGGATTAACATCACTCCAGTTTTCTTATGGCGGTTGACCGCATCATATCCGTACGAGCCTTTAGTCAGCAATTTCTATGAAATAGAGATGTGGACCATTCGCGAATGCGAGCAAGTTTGGTGTTAGGCTCACCATGTAACACCAAACGCCCCACCTATTGGCTTTATGAGGGAGTTTGATTTGCTTGAATGTGGTCTCTTCTACAAGTGTTGTTTCATCTAGTGTATACCTAGTCAGCCTCAATACACTTAGCCAGCAGCCTAGTCTGGCGACCAACACTCTATCTTGGTTATCTACTGCAGCAAACATGTAGTCGTGATGGCCAGTAGATTCTATAGAGCTACCTTCTTGACCAGATTGGTCAAACACGGTAACTTTGCTCGGTCGAATACACGTATTGGTGACCATGACACCTGACGATGTAACGCATATCTGTAATGGCTTAGTACGCCCAGTAGACACTTTCACTTTCTTTGCGTATGTACCATTGAAGATGAAAATATCCGGGTTACCATTTACAGCGTAGATATTACTATGGCGGTCTGCGCATAGCCGTAGATATCGACTACTCTCCGTGACGGTGCAATGCATACCAGCACCTACACCAAGCATACCGTACACCCGGCATGTATTATCACAAGACACAGCGGTTTGACCATGAGAGAGACAGGCGATACCCCAGATGTGACCGACGTCGCTCTTGAGATGTTGCTTCTGGTCGCCCGACACAGAGAAGCAATCAGAACCCTTTCTGTTCCCTCCATATCCTACCACCACAGCGTCTTGGGATAGCGCTGCCATGCCAAACAAGTTATCAGGTAAATCAACATTTTTGACGATGGTCAGGGAACCATTTTGTACTGCAGGTGGAATATCTACATCAACCTGATCATTCACTTCCACTTGCAACTCTTCTGTTTCCGTAGCCGATCCATTAGCAATGACTGGGACACGTTGGATGTTCCCTGTATCAGCAATGGCTGGCTCACATTGGACGTTCACTGCTGATGTCTTTCCATCCATCTCCACATGACCCAGGTCAAGAAGCCCCTTCTCACTGGGAAGAAACTGCGCATCCTCTGCTGCTTGCAATCGTGACATGGCTCCCTCAATGCTTGTATTCTTCAATGAGTTTTCAAGATCAATACAATGCAAACGAACTTCTACAAGAGTATCATCCTTTACATCCTTTGTCATGATGGGTTTTAATTTTGCATCAGATCTCTCTATGTTCTTGATCAATTCTTTCTGATCAGCATTACAGCTCTCCAATTGCTTGCCTGCTTCCTCCCGAATATCATTGACCTCCTCAATGAGCTTCTTCTCATTTTCTTGGAGCAGTGTTATTTTCTTGGCAAACACATCTCTAATGCTGCATTCCAATTCTCCAAGGTGAGAGTTTATGTCCCGTCTTCGACGCTCGGCATTCTTCACAAACTGTTTGGCTTTGGTTTTCCTCACTTTACTCTCTTGACTCAGAGTGACTTTTTTCTTTCTCAACTCCTCTTCCAGGTCTTCTTTCTTCATTATCCTGTGACTTTGATGGCTTTCTATGAAGCACGTAATACAGATAAATACCTCACATACTTCACAGAAAATGTTCTTGCACTCTGTCTTGTGCAGGACACAGGAGTTTGGTAACAGACACTCATCGTAAAGATCATCCTGGAGGCCTTTCAATGAAAAGTTTGGTGGGAGTCCAGCAATCCTATCTTGACCCAGCTTCGTCCGTTTCTTACATACATAGCACTCCACGTAATTTGAACCTTTCTGTTTCTCATTGTGATGCTGTAGGCAGTCTTTACAGAATGTATGTCCACACTGAAGGAGGGTGGGGCTTTTGAAGGCTTCAAGACACAACGGACAGGCTAGACTCGGAGAGCACTGGTGTCCTTTTTTGTCAGCCATCTTTTCTGCAAATCTGTATTGAGGAAAAGGAAAGCTGAAATATTTAGCTGTACAAAGATAATGTTCTTAGAACTGTCTTTAATGATGTTATGTAATACTGCTAGTAGACTCTACTAGTGCTACTACTACTAGTACTACACTACTGCTTCTACTAGTACTTCGGCGCTAATTCAGAATCATATCCATACTTTGAATTGTACTGTAACTGAGGCATGGAAATACCCTACTAAAACATACCCAAAACCAACTAGACCTTAAAGATAAACTTTAGTACTGGTAATGCCATTGCATTGTGAAAGAAAAGGTGTGGAAAGGATCAGAAACAGTTGATCATGTAGCATGTAAGTATTGGTGTGCATTGCAAGGTTCTGGAGTCATCAAAATCATTATAAATTTGACCGAGTCTTGGTAAAGTAACAAGCACTGTACACAGAAAGCTATATATGGGACAACACACATGGTGTCGGGGCTAGTACTACCTTGATTTCCTTGTCTTTCTATGCTCATCACTGAGCCAGTAGGGTAGCGCGCCCAGTATTCGGTCAATTCCCAGTATTCGGTCAGACAGCCGTTTCAACAGCTGTAACAATTTAAAAAATAATTTAAGAGCCACGAAACTTGCACAAATCAGGCAGCTGAACAACTTTTCTTAACTCTCAAAATTAAATCAGATTTAGGGCCCCGGAAAGATCTCCAACTTAGTTCAAAATTGGTCAGTGTCGCAAGACTTTCTGCACTTCTGCGTTCTCTTAGCACATGCGTTAACATGCATAGCCATATGTAGAAGTCTATTGCGAAACAACTGCGTGTGCTGTCGCAATGAATTTAGTATGTGTGTGAAGAGAATCACTTCCGTGTTCAACTCCATCGCAGTGAATTTCCAAATGACGCATTTGCCGATGTGCGAGAGGTATTTATACGATACCCTTGCCATGCGGTATCGCTCGGCCAGTATTCGGTCAACGCATTGACATTCAGTGCTTTATCGCGCAATTGTGTGAAAATAGTGCGCAAATACGCTTCGCTCTTTGGCAACGGAGATACCACACACAAATCGCGTGACCGAATTCTAATCGGCGCGACCGAATTCTGGGCAGAAAAATGCTCCGTCTTCTTTCGGAAGTATTTTGCTTATCATTACTCTATATTTTAAGTGACTATAACATCCTGTTAGAGGAATAAATTTCTTTTCTTTTGATGGGTAGATTAATTGCCAAATAAAAGAGGTAAGAATTCAAAATATAGTGATTTCCCCTTAAGTGACCGAATACTGGGCACTCTACCCTATACATTTTCTTCCTAAATTGTTTGGCACATGTCATTTATTTGTAATCTTGAACATTCAGTGTAAGTTTTGTTTGATTCTGAGTGTGAGAATTAATTTTCTTTCTTTTACCAGAACTGGAGTTTATCTTTAAATTAAATCATCATCATGCATCAATTGTTAAAAAAATAGTCATGATTTAAAAGTTATGTTTCTCACCTGTTTCGTGTCAATTTTCTTATTTTTTAAAAAGTATTTCCCCCCAAAACTAGCAGAATTCTATCAAATTGACAGTGACACATTCACACCTCCAGCAACATTATCTTAGATCTAGATCTAGTCTAGATCTCTAAAAGTTAGATCTAGACTCTAAATGGGCATCAACAGAAAATAAAGAATAACATGTTGCAGTCGTAGTCATGGACCCTCTTGGTTAAACCCAAGAGTAAGACAGAAATGGAGGCTGCTATCACTTTATCAGTATTGACAGCAAAATGGACAGACAGCTAGAGTTGATGCATGCACGGAGGCCGAGGAAAACACTGGAAAAGATAACGTCCTATTCGGCGACCTCCGCCGCCCGCCAACCCTGCCGATCCCGAAAGACAGCCGCCGGTAGTAGGTAGCAAGATCCGCGCCGAGCAGACGATGGATTGTTTTTTTGTGTTATTTTGGAAGAGTCTGTGCCAGGACGTCGGACCCAACATATTTCATTCAAGTACAGAAAGTTTACTTGTTTCAATTTACTTCAGATGATATTTTGTTATGGGCCCTACAGTAATTTAACACTTAATTAGCTGACTGACTTACCAAATTTGTCTCAGCGCACACGAGTTAAATGAGGCGGACTTTCACTGATTTATGGAGCGCCAATTGGGATTTATGGAGCGCCAATTGGGAATTTTTATTAAATGTATTATGATTATTAATTAATAATGGGTGGATCATGGCGATCTATATAATTATCAACCTGTATGTCCAAATGTTGTAATATTGTGTACCAATAAGAGAATATATATTTAAATATATTCGTTTCCATACACTATACACACCGTTTATTTTAGCACTTTCCCTCTTCTCATAAGCCCTCTTTCACCTCCGATAAATGCCCTTATCAAAATCTGATCGGTGCCCCTTTTCTTTCAACTAATTCACATTTTTCTTTATTATAAGTACCCCTTTTTCATCCTCATAAGGGTATCTGGTCAGTGCCCCTTTTCAGGTGTGATAAGTGCCCCTTTTCACCTCTGATAATTTCCCTTTTAACAATGGTACGTGCTCCTTTTCCTTTCTAATCAGGGACCTAGCTACTTAGCTAGACCGAAAACTTCAGTCTCTCCAATCGTCGGTTGTTCCACTGAGACTACGTCTGGCTCCACTAGACCTCCGATTATAGGAATGACAACAAATGTCAGTTTTATTAAAGAAATGACCCAAATCAGATGGTTATTGCTGTCTAGGACCTAGCTAGTTCCCTTTTCATAAATACCCCTTTTCACCTCTTATAAATGCCCCTTTTCCGTCGACTCCATTCTAATTATAGTGCCCCTTTTCACCCCCTGGTGAGTGCTTCTTTTTGTAGGTGCATGCCAGTGGCGGATCAAGGGGGGGGGGGTGGGGACGTGTAAAACTTGTTCATTTTACTTTTTGGGGGAGATGGCCACCCCCCCCCCCCCCTTCCTGGCGCTCAATGGGGGGGGGGGGGTGCGATTTTTCGAATTTTCGAGGGCCAAAAACAAAATTAGTGCTCACTACCCCCCCCCCCCCCCCCCCCCCCGATCCACTTTGGAAATCGCTCTGCCGCCCCTGCTCGTAACTTCTTATGCATGTTAACAAATATTTTTGCCATAAAAATAAATCAAATACGGATAACAAAACGTTGAATTCCGTAAACTGAAATAAATTTGCTGAATAATTAATTTGGATGCTCATAAATCATTCTGTTGTCTAAACAAACTCCATTGCCCTGTGCCCATAAATTAAATTATATTTGCAAAAAGCGGGACACTTGGCAGGTCTGCATTTCGCACCTCTCTCTCTTTCTCTTTTCGAAACAGCTTTTCTCCTCTTTCACACTTTTTCTTCCTCACCCTTAAAGGGGAAGTCCACTCTAATATTAAATTGGTTTTGAAAAAAGCAGAAAATGAGACAATTAAATTAGGAATTACAAATAGGAAATTGATACATTTTGAAGTTCCCATCATAGAAACACAAATTGGCAGGACTGTGACATATCTCTCCAATTTGCTCTGTACATATTTCATAAACTTTCAATTTCTTAATTGATGGAATAGATTTGTTTCATACAGGGGTTGTATAAGAACTTATTGCAATAATTTAGGGTGAATGTATGATTGAACATTTTCTTGATGGAAAATATAAAATGTTGTTGTTTCAGTACGGGGTAACGGGAGGGGAATTTGCAAGACACGTCACAGAGTTGTCAATTTGTGTTTGATTGATGACACCTTCCAAAAATCATAACTTATCTTTAATCGGTTTATGCTCAAACTGACCTTTTATTCTCATTTTTTTTGCTACTGTTAAAACCAGCTGAATCTGCACTCATACTATCTCTCTCTTTCTGTTGGTCTCAGTCTCTCAAACTTTCTTCAATGTATTTACATGTACTTTTGTTTTTGTTGGTAACTGCTTTTTGTTATTTGGGGTTTCTTTTTGTTCTTTTCATGATACTTCAGAAAATCAAAACGAACCATGGATTTGACAAATATTCGGATTTATTTTAACAAAATAGTTTACATTTTTAATCATATTTACATCACTACTTAAAAATGTTATTTTCAGTTTTTTATTTTTTTTTACATCTTAAAAGTATGCACAGACAACAAAATAATTTAACACTGTATATAATTCTTTTGCAAGGCAGTATATCTGCATAATGCCTGGAAAATTTTCTGGTGTTCATGAATTTATGAATTTATGAAAAAATGTGAAAAATCCACAAATTCATTATATAATGGGTCAAATCTTATGGATAGAATGAGGTGACCTCAATCTATCCATAAGATTTGACCCAACAAATTACGAAGACATTGATACGATGATAGTTTACAAAAACATGGATAAAGGTAGCATGATTCTTACTTTATGACTACATTTTGCAAAGCCAGGTAATACAATTATTAAGTAAATACAATCAGGCAACAAATTCATGAAACAAATTCATTGGGGGTTTTCACAATTATAAACAGATGGTCTTTCTATACGGGTGGTCACTAAAGCAGGTTGGTTTACTGCATAAAACACTTTGAGCACCACATTAATCATGATTTTCATTCCTATCTCTTGGGTATAAACATCCTTCACATACATGTAACTCATGAATAATAAATATGAATTTTGTTCATGTTCAAACGAATCTTGCACTGTTCATAAAAAATCAATGTGTAAAAATGTTCTTGTTCATAATGTAACCCCTGTGTATAACATGGTTCAGTGCAAGGTCAGTGCACTGTGCCAGTTCAGTAATTACACAAAATGGACAGAAATGGCGTTAGATGCTCAGTTGTCAAATTTCTTACAAATAAAGGGACTCTCAATATTAAAGACCCTTGAGGGAAGCTCTCATCTAGAATGCAGTCGTCCCAATAAATCGTTAAGCTGTGTTTCACCTGTTATCATTGCACAACAGTGTTCACATGTAAAGATAATCTGCACCTGAAATCTGCTTGTGCCATACTGACTGTGCGCACACCACCACCACCACTCTGCAATGTGCTGTGCAGTCTTCCAAATAAATCATTATGCTGCATTTCACCTGTATATCACTGCACAATACTGTGTTCACATGTAAAGATAATCTGCACCTGAAATCTGTTTGCGGCATACTGACTGCGTCCACACCACAACTTTGCCGTGTGCTGTTCATCAGCAATGAAGGGTACACTTTATACAGAGGAAGAGACTCGCCCACTAAAGCAGTGGCACTGGTAACATGCCAAGGTCTTTTAAGCTGTCCTCCTAGCGCTCTAATGAGAGCATTCTTGTGTACCAACTAAAAACCTGCCACAGCCATGAGAAATGACCACACATCTAACATCTTGTAAATAAGCTCCTGTAAACTGTGGCATTTACCAAAGGTTTTTAGTCTACAGAAGATGAAGTACAAGACTAACACGAGGCAGTAGTGGCAATGGTAACATGCCATGCTGTCCTTCCAATACTTTAACAAGAGCATACTTGTGTACAGAGTAAAAACCTGCCATACAGTTACCGAGGGGTTTTATTCTACAGAAGACGTAGAACAAGATTAACCCACAACAGTAGAGGCAATGGTTACATCCTCAGGTCTGCTAAGCTCTCCTTCTAACGGTGGTAAATAAGCTCCTGAAAACTGAAGCAGTTACCAAGGGTTGTTCGTCTACTGCCATTCACTTGTTCGTACCTCATGACACACAGAGGAGTCAGTTCAGGTAGGACCATTGTTGTGTTTGCAAATCCTTTTGTCATCCCCACTTGTAGCATAGTCGAAAACCGCCGCAATAAACCTTGCTGATTTACTCCGGCAATTGTGGACAAACCTCAATGCTGTACTACACATACACATCTGAAGTCCATTCATCTCTGGACCCACTTGCATAGTTTGATTTGTTTATCAGTGAGTGCAGCTAGGTAGTTGGTGTCTCCCACTTCAAATGGACATACATCTAATGCTGTGCTACCGATGGACATCTTCTGGGTGAGGTTGCCTGAACTTGCGTCCCAAGTAAACACCTGCCGTACAAACAAAGTCATGAATAATACAGTCAGCACTGTGGATCATAGAGAATGAATCAAATTAGCATCATGTTCTTCTTATCTTTCAAAGTCCAGGGGCCCGTTTCACAAAGCCTTTTTTCAATGACAAATGACAATAATCAGTGACAAATCTGCTGATAACCAATCAGAAGCAAGGACTACACAAGCTTGTAACAAAAATTGTCATTTGGTCACTGATGACAAGGTATGTGAAATAAAGCCCAAGAGTAGTATTTTGAAAACTATGTTAGCGTGGACGGTTTGTTAGTTAAAGGTAAAGACCAGCATTGGAAACGCCCCAATTTAAAAAAAATGAAATGGAAGCTCTTATTACCAATTATGTGAAAGAATATGTTTTAACTCCTGTTGACTAATAAATGATGATAACAATTTTGCCGGGAAACCGCCTTCTAATTGATTTTGCTAAGTTAGTTTATCTATTGGTGTGTGATAGATAAAACGCATGTGTTGCGCATGTGTGCGTAGTCCCATATACATCTTTCTGTGTACGGTGCTTGTAACTTTACCAAGACTGGGCCAAATTTCTTATCATTTTGATGATTCCCAGAACCTTGCAGTACACACCAATACCTATCATGCTAGATGATCAACCTTTTCTGATCGATTCCACAACATTTCTTTCACAATGCACTCGCACGACCAGAACTTATCTTTATCTTTAATTTGGACAAAATCAGTTTTCTAAAAAAATATGTGAGCTTTAAATGTATGTTACATAATATTCTAAAACTATTTTAAGAGGATTTTGTTCGAAAAAATGCACCATTCATAAGCATAACCTTTACCCTATTCTGACTGGGGGGGGGGGCATTTTGATTGAGTGAGTTTTTCTTTTTTGTGTTTATGGCAATTAGTCAGAGTTGTCTTTCATAATAAAGGATGACAGTATTTGTCAATTCTATTTCTTCTAACTGCAAATGTTAAAGATTACCAGTGACTACCGGTAGTCTATATTATGCACTATACTCACAATAACAACTATAAAAATTGGAGGGAACAAAAATAACGCCTCTGCCTCCGAGTACTTACTAATGATGTAGTCTCATCGCCAGCACAAACGATGAGTTTATATTTTTGTTGATGTTTCAGTTTTAACATGATGTATCATTCAAATGTGAATATTCATACCAGATGAATTTATATCGCTGTTGTGGTTCTTGTTTTAGTTTTGAGGCGTGTATCATTCAGTTGTGAATATTTGTTGTTATTGTTTTAGTTTTATTGGCCTGTATCATTCATTTATGGAATATTTACGCCATACTTACTGATGATGTAGCCTCGTCTCCAGCACAAGCAATGAGTTTATCATCATCCTGAGGTACAGGGAAGATAGCTGATTGAGTGAGCAGCTTCATGGTGGTTCCTCCAAAGAAGGTCTGAACAGAGTTACATGAGACTAGGCTGTTACCATGGTCACCAACCTGCTGTCTCTTCATCTCACACATCTAAACATTACAGATAGAACAGAAAATAAAAACATTAACAACAACAAAAATCATTATTATTCCAGGGATTGTATTCCGAGATTCATTTTAGCTCAGAATTTTTTTTGAAATGTTATGTCAGTGACATAAGATAGCAATCAAATATTTGTTAAAGGAGCTAAACAAAGAAAATAGACTAACAACTCATAATTAACAAAAAAATAACAAAATACATATGGATGGAAAGATTTTCTCTTGAAAAGCACGAACAATTTGCTGAGAAATCATATAGATATCATGGAAAGGCGTAAAATGCAATTTTTCAAGACCCACCTTAGACCCCCGAACGCCCCTGAATGTAACCTTTGCCTGGTGAGACTATCAAAAATAAATGTTAGATTTTACTCTCATCATGTTCAGCCAATAGAAACACCTTCTCTTTCTCTCTCTCTCTCTCTTTCACTCTGTCTCTCTCACTCTTTCTCACTTTCTCTCTTTATCTTGTTCTCTCTCTCTCGCTCTCTCTCTCTCTTTCTCCCTCCTCCTCTCTCTTTCTTTCTTTCTTTCTTTCTTTCTCTCTCTCTCTTTTTCTTTCTCTCTCTCCTTCTCTCTCTTTCTCTGTCTCTTTCTCTCCACTCACCACATATCTGGAAGCTGGATGTGACTTGGTCGGTCTAAAGGAAGCCAGACAGTGTCTTGTTTGGGGTTCAAATGCTACGCCTGTGCAGCTTCCTGTTGAAATAAAAACAAGAACTTGTTTGTTAATGATGACAAGTAATCTCCTTCTCTCCTTCAAGAGGTCTCATGTTTACCAGATTAATAAGTCAGGGTACAACTTGACATTCAATACTAGGTTGAATTTCTAAGATCCAATGCACTTTAGATGCTGATGCAGATTGTGTAGGCTACAAAGGCAAGTATTCTTGCAGCAAAATTTCACAATGGAGAAGTCTTCGCTAAATGTATGAAACTAAATCAAATTATGATTTCTTTACTTACATGAAATTAAAAGTAGTTCGGTGCATGTTTCCATAAAAAAAAAGCCTTCACATTACTCTGGCTGAAGTTATGCCGTCTTCGTCTTAAAGTGACTCATTAACATTGTTGAAGGTTGATGAAAAAAATTGCTTAATTTTTGTATAAAATGTTACTTACTATATTCCTTCTACTCTACTAACCCTCTGACATGCAAAATATCCTGACAAAATTCTCAAACCACGAAGATATCTATGGTTTTCTTTGAAGGAGTCGATGCATGACACCCTCTAACAGTCATTAACAGTAAATTCTCCCAACCATTTTTGAATTTTCCCAACCGTTTTTCCAAGAAAAAAAATATAAAACAGGCTATAAAAAATATGTCAACACTTAAATGTCTGAAATGGAATGAAAAGCCATTTTATTGCTTAGTGAGGATTTCCATTCACCTAAAATGTAATTAAATTATAATAATATAGTTGGGAGAATTAAGGAAATCGATCAGATCAGTTTTTCTCAATTTGTACCATGAATAATGGTCCGTTTTCACTCAAATTTTCAGATTATCTTTAATTGTACATCTAGGATTGAAGTCGCTACCTTAGCACCACTATCTCTCATCTGAACAATGTTACCAAGTCCCTTTAAGGCATTTAAAACATTCAAGGAATTGCATCCTAGGGTACCTGGATTTGAAAGTCGCCATTATAGATTGATTGATGTCAAGCCAAAGGTCATTAATGCAATGACCAGGGGGGGGGGGGGTCACAAAGATCCTAAGTTGAACTTAAAGGTACATGTAATACAAAGTTTTGGTATGGGGTTATGAATTTGGTTCAAATGAACATATTGGAAGCATATGCGATCCTACAATATTCAGTGATCGTTGTCGCGGTTGAAATCGAGTGTAAAGTAATGAAATTGTAAATAATACACTCTTTATGTTGTATAGCTCCCTCTCAAGGTCAGAATATTAATTAAGCTATATAAAACAATGTTTCTTGACTAAAATCGACCGATTAGCAATTCCCATTTGGGAATTATATATCACTACATATTCTGAGATTTTCACGGTCGCAGGTACCATTGAACGGCGGTAGGCGCTATTTGAAATTTATCCAAATTTACCAGGAGCACCGGTAAATTGTTATATTCAATTTTTCTCGAAATCAAAAGTGTTTTAGGAGCTAAATTTTCTAGTGCTTATAATACACCCACAGGGGCATCTAAATATATCAAAAATGTAAAGAATCACTATCCATCCAATTTTCAAAATTTCCCAAAACTTTGTATTACCTTTAACGCTAAATTGGACTTAAAAACTATGGACAGCCATTGGAGCCTTAAATAAAATATATTCAAAAGCAAAAATCCTAGTATTTTAGACTTTTCATAAATTCCACATCAAAACATGAAATCTCCTATGATAATAGAAAATATGAATGATTTGAATTTCAGTTCGGTTCGGGGTTCGGTAATATAATAGCAAGCAGCGTTATAGTCACGGCGGTCGGCACTGGGCGGGCCAGCACGAAGGACTTCTGCCCACTCCTGCTGAAAAACAGTGCTTCCGACCAGCACGAATTTCACACTAAATAACTGCTCTAAACGTAATTATTTGTGAAGAAAAGTACTATGTACATAGTTTTCTATTGTTAAATGTTATATTGTATTTTCTATCATTTGTATTTTCACTGTCAAAAAAGCCATTGGAAGCAAAATTTCTATGTAATGTTTGCATGCATGGACCAATAAAATAATCTTGAATCTTGAATCTTGAATCTACTACTTACATTCGTATTTCCGTTTTGAATCGTGTTTTATTTACAATTTTAAAAGAATCATGTTTTCAATTTGTCAATAAATGATATTTTTTCAAGATTTTCCGAGACGGTTGTTGTCAAATGTTAGAGTCATGAAAGCTGCCATCTTGAATAGCAATTCAGGCTCGTCAATAACTGTTTTTTTATAAGTTTTTATTTTCAATAGGAAAAATATAAAATCCCTATTTTTCCTGAATAAATAAATACCATACTATAATATATATTTATTTCATTATTTATATTGTAAAATTTGTCTGATATTGTTACAATTAAAATATTGATTTTTTGTTAAACGGGTTTGAGCTGAACTTGTTTTGATCACGCACATGTATTCTTGTTTAGAGCTTGCGATCAAAACATGAAATCTCCTATGATAATAGAAAATATGAATGATTTGAATCAACATTTTATGCCTTTTAAAATAACTTTTACAAAATATTTTCAAGGATGCTAATGGCTTTCCATAACTGTTAAGTCCATCTTAGATATAAGTTCAACTTAGGATCTTTGTGAAACACCCCCAGGGCCCCGTTGCACAAAACTTAAAATTGATGGGAATTTTGCCATCAACGGTAACTGCCATGGAAACCTTGATTTTGATTGGCTGGTGAGCCCTGTTACCATGGTACTTGCCATTGACGGCAAAGTTACCATCAATGGTAAGTTTTATGCAACAGGGCCAAGGACTCAACATGCTAAACCATATAATCTGCAGTCTGGTCACTTTTCCACCCACCTAGACATTGATATACTCACCTTCTAGATGGAGTTTATGCATTCTATACTCCTCACAAGATAGCTGCTCCCAGAATGAAGCTCCCTCTAGTGTTCCAATCAGTAAGCCTCCGCAGCTGAATGTTTATAGAGGAGAAAACAAAGTGTAAGAGTATACTTAAGCTATAATTGTAGAAAAAGACACAGTCAATTACACTGATATACACTGGATTATGTAAGGGTCCATGGAGTGTATTACTGTATAACACATGCTCCATGCAGATTACAATAGATCACATATATTTGTATGGTATTGCTTTGAACATACAAATAATCTTTGTTCAAATTAGAGCAGATTATGACAATGATTTGTTGTTATCTTTTCTTTAGTGAACCGCTAAGGCTACTCCAAGGCCTCTACGCTGATGACAAAGTTGATGTTGACGTCATTTGTCATGATACTAGTTCGATTGAACATTGAGTAAAGATATAAGAAAGGAAACTGATCTAGTGTGAGTCATGTGTTGTTTAGCGCATCCAGAGTATCAATGAAACATTCATTGCTGGAAATACAATGCACAAATCAACCCATTGCTTCCTGGAACCGGGTGGTTTATGTATTAAGCCTATGGGAATGTGATAAATTCTGTAGTCAAAGGATTAACACATCAGTGGCTTTCTTCTGAAAGGTATTTGATATACAGGGTGGCCCATAAGAAATGGATTATCATGCCTTGACTAATGCGGGGTAAATTGTGAAACAATGTTCAAGACATCCACTGGTAGTGCTTTTGCAGAAAGTAATGTATCATTTCAAAGTTTCAGATATGATATCATGCCTGTTGAGAAGTGCTGCATTAATAATAATAATAATAATAATAATAATAATATTAATCTTTTAAAGTCCACTCCAAATTTCATTAAGTTAAACCGAAAATGGAAATTCTTTTTGCCCAATTGATCGTGAGCCCGGCAGACACTGAGCAGCGCCAGATCGACGTTGCTCTATCCCTTATTGTTGAATGCCAAACAAGGTAGGAGCAACTCCCGTCTTATAACGTCTTTTGGTATGACGCGGCCGGGGTTCGACCATTAGATGATGAAACTGATACTTACGGAAGAGCATCTCCTGTCTTGCTTGGTACGTATTTCAGTGATACAATGGGACATCGAGAGCCCTCTCTCGTCAAGGTTTGAACCTCTGTGTCTGTCTTCCTAGTATCGTATATAACCACTGCTCCATTCTGTAGTCCCGCATATACATAATTGGTGTTAGCAGTGTTCCAGGCACAACACCAGGCTGGCATGGGACAAGTGTACCTAAAGGGGGTCAAACAACAAAGTGCAAAAAATAGCTTAAATGGTTTCCAAGATTCCTTGAAGTAATACCAAAAATAACATATTAAACAACACTTTTGCCTGTCGGAAGACGCCAAAGATAGAGGGTGCCTGTAATAAACTGTGCTAGGCTCAAGCAAGATATCAATAGAAATGGCCAACACCAACAATTATCTAGAGGTCCAATGCCACGGTCATATTCACAAAAAGGAGTGAATAACTGTTTGTTTAAGTCTACATCTAACAAAATACTTTCACAAATAAATTTGGACATTGTAATCAATGTCCCAAATCGCAGTAGCCTGGACCTATTGATGGCGTCAAAATATTGTATTTTATACTTCATACCGACTAAGGCTTGCGTAGACTCGATAAAGACCAAGGAGAGAGACACACTGACATAAAGAGAGAAAGAGATACACATAGACAGAAGAGATGGAGGGCAAGATATAGACAGAAGACTTACGATTGTACGACCGTGTTGCTTGCGAGACTAGTAATCTTGAGCATCTTATCTACCGATGCGGTCAGTACAAGCCCCTCATTCCTCCCAGTGAAGGCTAGGCCTCTGATTGGTTTAGAGTGTATGGGAATATACTGACATGATTTGAAATCCATTGCACTTATCTGAAGGGATAAAGAGAACAAATCAAGAAGATTAGGGAAGCTGCGTTGATAATATGCTTAAAAAAAAAGATAGATTTTAATTGATTTATAATGAAGTGATCTAATACAGAACTTTATTTCATTATAGTTCTAGGCATGAGCCGATTTAGCTATCAGTTATCGGAGACTGCTGATATCGTCATCGTTTTGCATTATCGGTATCGACTGATATTGCTTTTATTTACTACTGATTCCGATATGAAACGAGGAGGAAAATAAAATAGTTTCAAAGTAATTCCCATGCGAAAAGAGCTGTATTTCTTATGTCATTATTAACGATTTTTCCTCACAGTTTACTTATATTCTAGGCGCGATAACTCAGTTGGTAGAGCAGTGGTCTCATAATTCGGCGACCTGGGTTTGGAACCAATGGGATGCGCTAGTGCCCTTTGGTAATAAGGCATTTATCCTAATTACCAGGACTCTCAGAGAGGACCTAAAGCCATTGGTCCTCTAGTTGCTTACTAACAAGCATCAATGCTTTCTTAGCAGTCAGGTAATATAACCACCACTACACATTCATCATCCCTAAAGAACCACATAAAAGCAAATCATGTTCCTTAAACCCATCGCACTTCATCATACCCATTAGCAATGTCTGTAGGAGATCAGAGCTGTGCATTCAAACTTCATCTCATCATATGAGTGACACTTTTCCTTTTTAAATATAAAGTTGAGTTCTGGTAATGCAATTGCATAGTGAAAGGAAAGGTGTGGAATAGATCAGAAAAAGTTGATCATGTAGCATGTAAGTATTGGTGTGTACTGCAAGGTTCTGGAGTCATCAAAATCATAATAAATTTGGCCCAGTCTTGGTAAAGAACAAGCACTGTACACAGAAAGATTTATATGGGACAACACAAATGGTGTCGGGGCAACTATACCTTGATTTCCTTATCTTTCTATACTCATTACTCAGCCAGTATACATTCTCTTCCAAAATTATTTGGCATTATTTGACATTTATTTGTAATCTTGAACATTCAGTGTTAGTTTCGTTAGATTCTGTGAGAATTCATTTTCTTTTTTACCAGAACTCAAGTTTATCTTTAATTTGTTATACAATCCTGATTGAATGAAGTTTACCTTTTTAAGGCCGTAGCCCTGAAAGAGTACATTAGATGAAGGCATTGAAGCTAGAAGCAGCTGATTGGCTGGATCATATCCCATCACTCGACAGTTGCCATTCTACATCATCAAGAAAAAGAAAAAAGTAAATATACATATTTACATGTCCAACCATGAGAGGGTCTGGTGTATAGAAACTATGGTCCCAGACCGTGACACTAAATGAAGGATTGGAATTTAATCATATTAAAGCTGGCTTCTTATATGTACATGAAGCAGTAAAGTCTGTCACACTGTGATGCTCCTTAAGCTCTAACATTATTATTACTCGTAGCAGAGTGGCCAACTATGTGGCGCTCTGGCCTTCTGGTACCTTGGTGGAGAGTGGCAAAAGTGGATTTAAAATGTCTTGCCAAAGGACCTTTGTGCCGGGATTTGAACCTTCAACTTTTTAAATGAAAGTCAAGTGAATGGACTACACAATTTTACTAATCATGTGTTTCAGTGCCGTGGTCAAGTGGATACATCACCGGACTGTGGATCAAATGGTTAGCGGTTCAAGTCCCGCCTCGGCAATAATGTACTTTGGCAAGACATTAATCTACATTTGACTTTGAATGTTTTTTTAAACAGATATATGGCACCATACAAATGCTGTTCATCATCATCATCATCACTCTTCACCTAGGTGTTCAGTGGGCAACCGGTAGGATGCCAACATTAAATGTAGTTGGGTTGGCATGTGGCGCTTGTAAAATGGCACCTGGCCAGAATCCTCCCCTTGGAGCGGAGCGTGTGCACGATTATGTGCAGATTAACATATTAAATCCAATTACTAAGAGTTAGAGCTATTCCAATGTGACTATTCTTATACATACCGGTGACACTTGGATAGTCTTGTCCAGAGTGTATTGACCTGATAACCTGTGATGTGGCTGTTGACTGCTACATGATGCTACGCTAGACAGAGGACTGGATCAAAAACAAAACAAGAGAAATGTATCTTGATGGCATAATGCCTTCAACAAAGAATGCCCATGCACACTGCTCTACCCACCCCCTCTGCCTAGCTGTCATACTCTCTTGCTCTGTCCGCATCATCATCATACAAAACAGATTTCATGTAATTTACCCAACTTAAGCTGTTATGCCTGAAATCGTCTATACTTATAGTATTTATTTTAGTAAATTCATCTATAAACTGTTACCAATACAGGAACTAACCTTCAGGCTGCAGATTGCTGATGAGATTCAAAGATTACTTTTATTCTTTTCACCTCTTCTAAAGCCATTAAATATGATGTTGAAAACAATGGCACCTACTGATTTTAGATAAAATGTGCCATAAGTACCCAAACTTTAGGTTTTAGAGGCCCATCATTGTTTTTAAGCAAAGCAGAACAAAGATTTTGGCTGAAAATGTTTGTTTGGTGTAGAAAACCCAGTATGAACAGTACAATGAAATATGGTAAAGGCTAAGACCCACAGCAGACCATGGGGCACTGAAGTTGCTCCAAAAGGGCCCGAAAAATCTGCTACTCTGAGACAGCTTCAAAGAGAGACAATAATCTGTCTGTACTCATGAGGTAGAGTGAACATGATCTTAACAGTCCAGTCCCATGTACTTACTTTCGTGCTGCAGATTGCTGATGTGATTCAAATATTGCTTTCATCCTCTTCACCTCTTCTAAAGCCATCACATATCTAAGCTGTGTCTGAGCTGCGTCCATCTCGGCTTTCCTCCTCAGCTCCTTCTCTCTCTCAAGGTCTCTGATTTTTAAAAATAAAATAAATATATACAAAACCAAGACAAATACTACTGCATCTTCAATATACCTCTGACTTTATTCTTTTTCTCAAACTTCCTGATACAAAAATGAAAAAAATTAAAAAAAAGTCAAATGTGACTGCGTCTCCAATATGCCTCCGTCTACATTCAGTTAAGAACATAGCTTGAATTATTTTTGACATATCACCATGAGAACAAAAAGCCTATATTTACATGTCAATTGATCTTTAAGACCTTTAGCCTTTGACATTAAATCCCTTTAGAGAATTTAGAGAAAACAAAAGAAGTTTTGGTAAAGCCCATATGCAATGATAATTTCATTTAATTGGTATCACTCTGGTTCAGCAATCAAATTATTACTGGGAATTAACCTAACATCATGCAGTCAAACCGTTTTGGTGGCAAAGTGTAGCTTTCCCTAAAGGCCTATGAAGTATAGTATAAAGCTAAAAAAAGTCTATCTCAGAAGAGTTCATTTTGGCCATTTGGCAGGTTTCAAGTTGGCCTAAAGTTTAAAGACGCATATTAGTGGGATTAGCCTTCAGTTTGATGAAAAACAAGCCTCATGGAATTTGCATTACATTCCCCACCAATCAACCCAATATAGAAAAGTTATTATCATACATTTTTCCCACCCGAAGACTCTCCGAGAGACTAGGGGGTTTTTCTTGATAGGCCTACGGGTTAGCTGTGTGCAGACGTGTATACCTATTAAGGGTATTTCTAGCGAGGTCTGGTGTCAATGAACTATACCCTACTGCAAATGGAAACTGAAGACCATCCCCCTTCAATTATCCTTTCTTAGTATCTGTAGAGGGTTGGCATGACTTACTTCAATGCTCGATCTCTTTCCGATGTATCGAGAACTTTGAGAGCCTTGGCATAGATCACTCGGACATCGGTCTTCTTAGCCTTGGTGTTGCATTGTGGGCATTTACCTCCTTGCCCTTTCAACCACTGCTCTATGCAGCTGTATATTGGAGAGAGGGGTGAGAGGGAGAGGGAGAGGGGGAGAGGGAGAGAGGGAGAGGGAGAGAGAGAGAGAGGGAGAGAGAGAGAGAGAGAGAGAGAGAAAGAGAGATGGAGATGGAGAGAAAGAGAGAGAGAAAAAAGTGAAAGAGAAGGAGAAATATATATATTGAAAGAGATAAAGAGAAACAGATATAGAAAAAAGATATAGAGAGAGATGGAGAAAGAGAAAGGCATAGAGAGAGAGAGAGAGGAAGAGAAAGAGAGAGAGAGAGAGAGAGAGAGGGGGAGGAGTCAGGAAGAAATGCAGGAAGAGACAGAGAAATAGCCATAAACAGAGAGAAGTTATTATTGAGTTTAAATATAGATCTCAGAATTCAGAATAATAATTTCCAATTTCAAAAGAAAAGTGTTATATACATGTACATGTAGAAGACAACCACAGATTACAAGGCAGAAAAAAACCTATACAATACAAAAACAATGGATTCCAAATCCTAAAATTCTACATCCCTCTAATGAAGTATTGGGTATTGATATCAACTATAAAGCTTACAAAATGTTTCTTATAAACTAGTCTCATATTTAATTCAATGCAACTAATTTTTAAAAGCTGAGTTGCACATGTACGGTGTATATACTGTACAAGATAAATATTAACATTAAATTCATCATACAGAGCAATTAACAACTTGGTAGCATATGCTGCCTCACTTCATTTTATCAATACAGACCAATTACTCCATAAAAAATGAAAAAAAATGAAAAACTGGTAAATGTGATTCAGAGTAAAAACCTTGAAATCAATGCATTCGGAAATATATGTGAAAGAGAGGAAATGAAAAGATATACTATGATTAATTTTCAATAAATGTTGAAGCTTACCTTTGACCGAAAAGATGACCACAGCGTAGCGAGACAAGACGATGAGAACCTGATGTGGTCCAGGGTTCATAGCAGATGATACAGGATTGCTATGTGGATCAATGGAAGGAAATGTGACAGGTACAGAGAGTGCAACTTCCCAGTTCTAATCTTAGATTTAATAAACTGATTTGTGCAACACATACATGTACATCTGCATGGTGCCTTGTGACCAAGGTCCAGGGCTCACTGAAGGCCTCTATTACTTACATGTACATGTACAGCGTAAAAGCTCTCTGATGCAATCTGACCCATATTTCTGTGCATTTCCAAACAAAATTAATGACTAAAATTCCACAATTCATTTTTGCTGAGACTGAATTGAGCATCTTGCTAATTTTCAAACCTGTCACTGTTGTAAATGAAAACCCCTTGTGGCCCACCCTGACCAATGTTTTACGCAACTACTGTTTTGTTTGTTTGTTTGATTTTATTCCTGTGTTTTTTCAAAATAATGAAAGATAATACATGTACAAACATAGTATAAATCAATTCAATAATTATACCTTTAAAAAAACACAGATGACGAATCATTTCAAAATTGAGAAATGAAGGAGACCGCATCTTAAGCTAGAGCTTGAATGTAATGGTGGCCTGGTCCCCATTGCACAAAACTTACCATTGATGGTAACTTTGCTATCAATTGTAACTAATATGGAAACCTTGATTTTGATTGGCTGTTGAGCCCTGTTACCACGGTAGTTCCCATCAATGGTAAGTTTTATGCAACAGGCACCTGGGGCTGGTTTCATAAAACTTGTTATCTATAACAACTGCTAAATTTCTATGACAAATTTGCTCTCAGCCAATCAGATGCCATGATTTCAGTAGCTTATAACAGTAGGTTGTAACTTGTTATTGATATCAAGTTTTATGAAACAGGGCCCAGACTTGCACTCATTTCATACACAAAGACCATTACACCATCCCACAAAGGAATACACTTACCGATTCATCGTCACTTGCGCTATCATCGTTCCCTGTGTCACATGCACCAACCGCTGGTTTCTTAGGCTCCTGGAAGTCAGACATAGAGTCATTACTATTCTCATCTTCAGTCACTGTCTCCATGGGTTCATCATCTTCATCCTGATTGGTTGATGCTCCATGCATATCATTAGCTTCTGGCATGCGATTGGTTGTTGGTCTCAGAGTGTCACTATCATCTGAGCTTTGACCCAGGTCAGCATCAGGTACAGGTCTATTGCCATCGCTCACCAGAGGTCTCGGAGTATCTGAAACTACTCCTGCCTGTGATTGGGTATCGGTACTAGCCTCATTTGCATGTGGGTTTGAGCTAGCTGCTGATTGGCTAGCTCTGATTGCTTGCAAACCACTAGGGCCTGGAATGTCCACATCAGCAACTGCATCATGTCTGTGCTGAAGCAAACCGGTCTCAGCTGGATTCATCTGGTTCCCACTGCTCTGCTGTGGAAGCATGAGCAGTGATTCACTGTCAGACTGTGACCCTTGACCTGGCATGGTTGGCAAGGCAGGGAGAGATGGATCAGTATTGACCCTGCTCTCTTCCTGTGATCTTGACCGTGATTGGCCTCTGTGCTCTTCCTGCATAAAGACAATGTTTTAAAACGATTTAACAATTTTATCAGAATGGTTTGGTTTATTAGAAATTAGTTCTATGACAAAGCCATCAATTATTCACCTGTGTGACAGTTTCACTATTAAAGTATAAACACCTTCCCAAAACAGCTCTCCTTGATAATCTGAAAATTGGCAACTAGCTTTAGTCTGCCACACCTGAGGGGAAGTTTTCTTGACCTAAAGAGAAAGTTGAGTTCTGGTCATGCGATTGCATTAATTGTCAAAAAAACGGTGTGGAATCGATCAGAAAAAGTTATCATGTAGCATATACATGTAAGTATTGGTGTGTACTGCAAAGTTCTGGGGTCATCAAAATGAAAAGAAATTGGCCCAGTCTTGGTAAAGTAACAAGCACTGCACACAGAAAGATGTGTATGGAACTACACAAACATGTGGCATATAAATTATAAAGCGGGCCTTATTTTTAAGCTGTTACCTAGTTACCTGTCATATATTTAAAATTTGAAGGCATTCGAAGAGCCATGCTTTTCAGGGAACATTTTTTCACTGATGTTCTTCCACATTTGCATAATAACAATGATAAAGCTCACAATTTTCTTTGTTCACCTCTCCCCAGAACTCAACCTTCTCTTTAAAGGGATCGTTTAACAATGTTAAATCTGAGATACACGGCCCTACGTGTTATCAGTGTCTGTGATATGGTGTAATATTGAAGCCCTAAACAAATTGCGCTTCAAAATGATCAAGAAGTGCCTCAAAAAAGTAAAAATCTTTGAGTGACTGGTTTTACCATACTCGCTTTCCCCAATAGACTGTAGTGTTTTCAATCATAAATATCTTGATAATCAGACAGGCGATCGGACAGGCGAAAGTCATGGGGTTCCTGACTGACTTAAAGGTTATAATTATCATTGCATCATGAGCTAAATCCAGAATTTTGTTTCAGAATCTGAGACAAAGTTACCGGATCCCTTTAAGACATTGACACTGTCGGTGTCACGCAGGTACATGTACATGTACTTGATATATATGTGATCATGTGCTGTAGTTATAACTCATTCCTTATATCCAGAATGCCTACTTGAGACTCAAATTACAAAGTTCACCTTCGTTGACAAAACCAAAGTTCACAAAACACTACACTATATTTCCAATACAAACTAATCACATCAATGTACTAATCGCCAGTGTAAAGGCCGATTAATAAAGCACCATCATAGAGTGGTGAAGTGTGACATCATCAAAAATCCATCTTTAGAATTTCTCAATTTTTTCTTCATTTTCCGAAAGAGCATCAAAAATAATGTCCAAATGTCGAAAACCAATTATATGTTAAGTATTGGCTGAGATACAATGTATGACCATCTGAATAAAAAGATTGCCTATGGGAGCTCAGTGTTATATGCTCTGGATCATAACCATTAGGAGCCAGAGCATATATCACTGAGTTCCTATAGGAAATATATTCATTCAGATGGTCATATCTCAACCAATACTTGATATATTCAATTCGTTTTCGACATTTGGACATTATTTTTGATGCTCTTTCGGAAAATGAAGAAAAAATTGAGAAATTCTCAAAATAGATTTTTATGACGTCGCAGCTTCGGTACTCTATTGTTCGGCTCCTCACTTCTTCTTTTATTGACAAGATTTTTTAAAAATCGATATACATGTACCACAGTTGCAACTGGCTTAGGTACATGCAATATGACCAACTATTTCTTGTGATCTATATGCCCACATAATGACCTTTGACACAAATACTGTAGATGTCTCTCGGCACACTCTATATGTCGCAGTGAAATTTGCTTTAGCGTATTTCTATAAAGACCACATTTTTGGTTTCCCTCACACATTCTTTATAGACAAATTTCACTATATACTTATATATATTTGGGTCCTCGGATATTGATACCAAGTTTGAAAACTGAAGTTATAACATTGTACCAAAATTGGATTCTAGGTGAAAATGATACAAGTTGTAGGTGTATTGCCAAGCCTTTAGAAAACGTTCGTTTCATGAAATACTGGGACATCATCATTTGAGCCCACCATTGTCTGACTCTTGCTATTCATCTTTTCTTTTCTCAATTTCTAAGGTACTTATTTCTCGCTCACTTTGCTCGCTCGCACCATTTAGGAATAGGATGCCATCTGAGGAGCCCAAGCTCAAGTACATCTTTTATCTTTTAAATCAAAATTACATGTTAATGTTAACCACGCTCAATTGCGTCTTTTGCTTGCAACATTCAGAAACTGGATAATCCTTGGCAACGAGGCGCCTGAAAATTGTCATATTTGTGTATTCACATGACCGATTATGATTTTTATTTTTCCATGAATATTGGGCGGCGAGGTACCTGCATACATTATTGTGTATCTACAGGGAATAATTTTCCTGGTATCGCATCGCAATTTGCTATGCATTTTTGCATGACTGCTATACAAAATATCTTTTGTGTAGCAGTTTTCATCCATAGAAATGTACAGAATTTCATTTGAAATATTTATCCATCGGCTGAAATTGCTAATCAAAAAATTTGAGGAAAATTATTCCCTGATCTAATATCTAGTACGCTAAATGTATACAACTTTATTAAACAAAAACAACAGAATCTATTTAGAGACAAGCGTGCCCTGCACTTGACGGATGCCATAACAATGCAAAACAAATCTCTATCTTCTTTCTCTGTCTATCTCTTCCTCTCTCCCTCTCTCTATCTCTCTCTCTTCTTTCTCTGTATATCTCCGTCTACTTCTCTCCCTCCCTCTCTCTGTCTTTCTCTTTCTCTCTCTCTCTCTCTCTCTCTCTCCCTGTCTACTTCTCTCTCTCTCTCTCCCTCTCTCTCTCTTCTCTCTCTGTCTAATTCTCTCCCTCTCTCTATCTCTCTCTCTCTCTCTCTCCTTCTCTCTGTCTGTCTCTTTCTCTCTATACCTGTTGGTCTTCATCCTCTGATATCTCTGTAGCATCTGAATCATACAGATCTTCATCACTTTCATTCAGACCCCTCCCTACTTCTCTCTCTCTCTCTCTCTCCTTCTCCCTTTCTATCTCTCTCTCTCTCTCCCCCCTTCTCTCTCTCTATCTATATCTCTTTCTCTCTCCTTCTCTCTGTCTGTCTCTTTCTCTCTATACCTGTTGGTCTTCATCCTCTGATATCTCTGTAGCATCTGAATCATACAGATCTTCATCACTTTCAATCAGAATGGTGGAACCACTGTCCTCTTCTTCTTCATTGTGCTCCATTGGTGCAGCCCATCAGTACTTCAATAGCAATTACTCTTCAGTTCATAAGCCTGCAAAGAAAAATGTATTTATTGGTAGTTGGTAAATAGACAATTTTTGAAATGTAATCAATTTTAATGCATTTAAGTCTTTGCTAAAGGGAGTGAAGCTTGGCAAATACTGGTTAACGCCATCTTTGACTTCTTTTGGACGACTGCACTTAAACGAATGGACTTGATTAACGGTAGTCACGCTAGCGTTTGCAAAGCAGACCAGAGTTCTGTTGTATGTATGTTACACCAAAAATTTGAAAATGATTCAAACTATTACTTACTGACTTGTTAGCACTTAAAGGAATAGTTGAGTTCTGTTGCAGAAGGCGTTATACAAAATAATTTGTTTGTGAGATAATGAAAAACTGAGTGTCAAATTTGAAAGAACATACAATTTAAATCACAAATTCATCTTTTTTCCATCAAAATCGGTTCAGAGACGGCTTAAATATCCATAAATGATTTATAATACAAATATTCGATAATTTAAAAAAGCCGTTGAAAAAACGAAATATCGCCTTTTAAGTCGTATTTCAGCCAATGCCGATGTTGGCTTTTCTGTTGGCTGTTTTGTGTTGGTTATATTAGGCACAACCAGCCGGCCCATGTATTGTTATTTTTAATAAATTAATTAATTAACGGTCACCAAATTTTTTTGAAAGTCGAGCTGAATTACCTTCATAGCAATTTTAGTTCCTAAAAGGGCATTAGAAATGTCATAGATAAGGATGAGAGCAATAACCATGCACTTTGAAGGCATTTGCGGTCTGAAAACAGAACTCAACTATCCCCTTTAAGTCAAGTCGACAACTAATAGTCATTATTTTCCCACTTACAGACATTTTCAAGCCCCCCTTATTTTAGGGAAGTTCTAAATTAGTAATATCTTTCAAATGCCGTTGGAATTTAACATTTTCATTTTTGGGGCCTGCAAATGGGAGATACATGTACATGTATGTTGTAAAATTGCCTTTTGTAAGCCAAATTATTGTACCCTATTTCGCGGACGTGTAAGTTCATACGTGTCTTGGATGCGCTTACGCGTCCGTCCGTCGGCAACCTCTCAAAGACGTGCCTATAAGAGTCCCGGACACGGGCCGTCTCCTCATTCTGGAATCTGCTGAGCTGTGACACACACCCTTTTTACTTCAGATAGTACCTTTAAAATCAATACCGCTCGAGCGGATCGGCCAATCAGAATGCGTAAACTCACTGTACAGACTACAGGGCTCAATCAATGCTAGACCGATGGGGAATGTTGACAACTGTCAGTTTTATTAAAGAATGACCCATACCAGACGGTTATTTCTGTCTTCTTCTTGATTTCTTCCATTGACTCCATCCCATGCAGAGTATTGTCGTACCATACTGGGGTGGGCCGTGTGCAGGTAGACCACTACACCAGGGTTTTCCCCTACTTTTATACAAATAGTGCAGTGGGTTCTAAACATGCGAAGGTAGTGACTCTTCTCTACACGGGGGCTCCATTTCACGTCCTCTCCGAGGGACGGAGTATTTTCCACTTAACATACATGTAGCCTGCGTCCATGAAACAAGGGGAGGGGTATGTTAACACACAACGCAGGCTTCAGTCATCCGCCTGGGTGGGATTCGAACCCGAGATCTTTTGTTCGACTTGCCTCACATGTAGAACTTCAGCTTACAATTGAATTAGCCCATGCGCAGATCGTTCATCCGATCTCAGCCTCATTTTCGTAAGGTGGCACCTAGCCTAGCCGGCATGGGCCCTTCAGATTGGATATCGCTGTTCTCCATTCCCTCGATGCTATAAGATATTTGTGCGAGGAGCAAGCTTGCGATTTTCTGATTTTTTTTTTCTATGACTTTGCCATTGAACTTAAGTTGCGCTTAAGTTAAGTAAGCCCTCTCTCACTTAAATTCGAAGCCACTCAAGCGGATCAGCCAATGGGAGCGCGTAAACTCACTGTACAGCGCTAAATGCGCTAAGTAAGTTCTTTGTGCGCCTCCGGCCTCCCGACCCTAAAATAAATCAATGGCAATCTGTAAAGTTCTGACTTTGTGTGATCTGGATCTGGAGTTCCCTCGACATGCTGGATGGTGCCTTGGTGGAGCTCCTTGGTAGTGTGGTATTCACCTTCAACAAGAATTTTAATGAGGGATATAACGATATATCAAAATTAAAAATAAACAAAAACATGGGAGTCCCTAATGATCACTGCACTGACTAGGCCTATGCCAGACACAGCTCAGCGCCTCGGCTGCCTCGCAAGCAAACTCTGCTGAACTAGCCGCTAACTTCGGCGTCGGAGCTCCCTAGAGTTACCGCTAACTGAGCGGTAGCGTACTAAGGTGCCAAGGTACCGGTATTGCGGCCTCATGAATAAACATGAGTATATGACGTCACGAACTCGCTACGAACTCGCCACGCCTACTCTACCCCTTACCATTTAGCGGGTATCTATGTTAACGTTGTCGCCTCTATAATCTGTTTTTGTTGTACGTACGGCCGTACCTACACCCCGACTATATATATATATATACCTACCTATATACCTACATATACTTACCTACCTACCTACCTACCTACCTACCTACCTATATATATGTCTCATTTTGAAGAACTTCAGTCATTAATTGTTCTCGCTCATATATTAGTAACTCCATATATATAATATATCCTAGCTTGATAGCACCCCTCCATTAATTATATTGAGCAATAGAAATATTAACTCCATCTATCTCCATCATTTAAACTTGCTCGAACTTCATCCAACCTAGCACCTCCTCTATACAGCCTAGCACCCCCTCCATTGAGCCTTAGAAATATTAACTCCATCTATCTCCATCATCTAAACTTGTTCGAACTTCATCCAGCTAGCTAGCCTAGCACCCCCTCTATACAGCCTTGCACCCCTCCAATGAGCCTATCCATCTATCTCCATCATTTAAACTTGAACTACATCCATGCTAGCACCTTCTCTATACAGCCTAGAGCGACCATTAAGCTTGCATGTTTTCAGACCTAGCTATTACGATAATGTGTATCTGTCCAACCTAGCTTGCACCAACGATATCCTGGCCCCTATATAGCAACAACTCCATATGTAGCTATTGGTATACGGGTAATTTAACAGAACCAATTTCATATATCTTTCATCAATTATATCTAGCTAGGTGAAGGATTTGAAATGTGATTTTAAAGATATTCTTTCATAATCAGTAATGCAGGATCATACATGCACTTTTCTTTTCCCTCTCAAGACTTACATTACCATACACCTCACTGGTTATCAGCTGAGAAACGGGTCATCCCGGTAACAAAGTAATTTGCGTTCTAAAAAGTCAGAAAATCAGTAACTGAATAAGTGAAATTAGAGACATATCTGAAAATTATTAACTAATTATGAATTTCTAAATATTACAAATTTGCAAAGTGATGACACTGCCTGGCTTCCACATTTTCTACATACCTATTCCAAATATACATATTCATATTCAGCATAGATAATTTTGAATGGTTTTGAAAGACCTTGAATGGATCATACCGGTAACTGTTTTTATATTGTTGTCGAGTTTTCTCGAACTGATGTGTTTCATTTTTCCATTTTCATAGCAAATAAGTTATTTTTAACTGGAGTATGTATTCATTAAGATATACTCATAATACTTTCAAAGCTTTGAATAATACCTCGCACAAAAGTACACAGATTTTGCAAACGAACACACTCCAGCACACACCCTAGGTTAATTAAGTCCAACATGTTATTTCACATATGGCAACAGAACATTCTCATCATCTGACCCTGTACTCTGGCACTCTTGGTCAACCGAAATTACAAAAATATAATGTTCAAGACTGCTCATAATCACTTGCCAGTTTTCAAATATGTAATTTATTGTAACGAACCTGTGACTGCCAACTACATGTATGTTTTCTTTCCCTTCAAATTTTGTTGAATCTTACTTTGTCATAGAGTCAACTCTGCTCAGTCAAGTAATCGTAAGTCAAAGGTTTTTAAAGTCCTGCTCTTCATTTTCCATTGCTTTTTTTTTACCCAAGTCAGATTTTGTCTAGGTGAAATCTATATTTTTTCTATAGTCCCAACGGATTCGACTATGACAGAGTGAAGTGTACATGTCACTAATTTGTTTAAAGTGAATGGAGAACAATTATTATTATCATTATTATTGATCTAGCAATTATGCAATTGATAGAAAGATCTTCACTTCACACCACCTTCTACACCATCCAGCCACGCACAATAAATATAAAGTATAATATAAGGATTAAATCAATTTCAAATAATTGGATTATAAGTATTGTTTTATTTAAAAAACAATGTACAGAAAAAAAAACATGACTGCATAATTGTCTAATTTTAAATACACAGTACATGTATTAGGTGACTGATTTGCATGAATAAAATTCAATAAAAGGAGTACACAAAAAATCAAATAGTAACATTTTTGTGGTGTTCGGAGTTGAACTAGCTACAAGCATATTTGAAGGTATATTGTCCCCCTTTTATTAGTTAGTGTAATTTTAAAACCATTCATATTCCTCAAAAACCTGCAGATTTCATTGATTATTATCTTGCACCCAATTCTCACAATACATCTGAAGTGATTGCACCTGTTTTACGTGCATCATAATATGTGTTTCTATGATAAAGACATCATTTTATTCTTTTTGTGTGTGCCTTGCCTTTACTTTTTTATGTATGTTTATAAGGTTCTTGCAAGCACTGCATCACTAATCAGCATGCCTGCAAAAAAAAAATGTTTGGTTCCAAAAATATGCTGAGAAAAACCCTATTTTTTAAAGTTATTTCATAAATATTTCTTGCAATTCTTTTACTATTCAGAAAAATATCTTACATGAATATTTGAGGTTATATTTCATATTAATTTCAGAGTCCTTTTTTTGGTTGCATTATTGGAGTGTTCCAAAACTGGGCAAAAATATAAAACAGGGGAAACGCTCTCGGCGGTGTCACCTGCATTACACAATTCAATATGATTAAAAATTGAGGTTAGGACATTATTTATAGGCAGGGTGGCCCGTTAGCAGGCCCCCCAAATTGAAATCCTCTGAATACAATCGGCATTTGAAGTGAATATTGACTTAGAATCACCAAAGGAATTATTTACTCTAATTTTTACCAAGATTGATATCTTTAATGAAATAGGAACAAAAACCAAAAATTGATTTATTAAGTCTCATATTAAGTTGTGAAAACATAATCCAAGTCTACTGACCTAAAATATCCTTGACTTTGTGACCTGGAATTTGTGTCATATGATTTGTGATACTTGATAACCCTTGGGTACAAGTTTCATGGAATTTAAACAAACACTTTTGAAATCATGATAACATTAAACAGGTCAACGCAAAGCGTAGCATCCCCTCGCAGGGTACAAATGGCCTATATACATCAGAACATTGGACTATATATTAATAGGCAAGAAACCACAATTTCACATATATAATTAGGTGTTTTGCATATTTAATGAGCTATGATTGGTGATACTTATTAACCCTTATGTTCAAGTTTCATGGAATAGGAATGTATACAAAATTATGATAAAAATTCAAAATCTTAACCTTTGGTCAAGTTTTGATGTTGATGCTACAATATACTTGAGTCAAAGTTTGTTCACCTGAAATGACCTTTGACTTTGCAACCTTAAATTCTACTCACATGATTGGGGATACTTTACAACCCCTATGTTCAAGTTTCATGGAAGAAGATTATACACTTTTAAAATTATGTTAAAAATTCAAAAACCTAACCCCGGGTTAAGTTTTTGATCATGATGCCACAACAGTCTAATTGTTTAAATCTGAAATGACCTTTCACCTTGACTTTGTGACCTGAAATTGTACTCACATCATTGGAGATTCTAGATAACTCTTTAATCAATGTTTCAGTGAATAAGAACTTACACTTTAAAAAATTCAAAAACTTAACCTGTTGACGCCGCTGCCGTCAACGGAAAAGCGGCGCCTATTTCCAAGTATCAAGTATTTTGTCTAAATATATGTTTTGATAAATATTCTTACTAGTATTTTGAAGTTGCAAAAGAACTTTGCCACTAATTCTTAAAATATCTTCCTTATTATGTGGGGGGGGGGGCCTATCAAAGATTCACTTTTGTTTGTTTAGGCATGTTCCATTTTGTCAAATTTGGAATAATAATTTGCCCATGACATCTGGGCGAAAGACGTATGTAAATGTATTGAAATCAATTTCCTAGTAATCATGGCACAATCAGCATAAATACGATCTAACAATATTATCAAATAATAATAATAATAGCATACGGTACTTATATAGCGCATATCACAATATGTCTCTATGCGCTGTAGGAAAGAGTAAGAAGGAAAGGTGGATAGATTAACATAAGAGAAATTTAAGATATGCTCAACATACTAGGCTGTATAGAGGAGGTGCTAGGCTGGATGAAGTTAGTGTAATTAAGTTTAAATGATGGAGATATAGTTATTTTTCCAAGGCTCAATGGAGGGGGTGCTAGGCTGTATAGAGGAGGTGCTAGGTTGGATGAAGTTCGAACAAGTTTAAATGATGGAGATAGATGGAGTTAATATTTCTAAGGCTTAATATGGAGGGGGTGCTAGGCTGTATAGAGGGGGTGCTAGGTTGGATGAAGTTAGTGCAATTAAGTTTAAATGATGGAGATATAGTTATTTTTCCAAGGCTCAATGGAGGGGGTGCTAGGCTGTATAGAGAGGGTGCTAGGCTGGATGAAGTTAGTGCAATTAAGTTTAAATGATGGAGATATAGTTATTTTTCCAAGGCTCAATGGAGGGGGTGCTAAGCTATATAGAGGAGGTGCTAGGTTGGATGAAGTTCGAACAAGTTTAAATGATGGAGATAGATGGAGTTAATATTTCTAAGGCTCAATGGAGGGGGTGCTAAGCTGTGTAGAGGAGGTGCTAGGTTGGATGAAGTTCGAACAAGTTTAAATGATGGAGATAGATGGAGTTAATATTTCTAAGGCCTATTATGGAGGGGGTGCTAGGCTGTATAGAGGGGGTGCTAGGTTGGATGAAGTTCGAACAAGTTTAAATAATGGAGATAGATGGAGTTAATATTTCTAAGGCCTATTATGGAGGGGGTGCTAGGCTGTATAGAGAGGGTGCTAGGCTGGATGAAGTTAGTGCAATTAAGTTTGAATGATGGAGATATAGTTATTTTTCCAAGGCTCAATGGAGGGGGTGCTAGGCTGTATAGAGAGGGTGCTAGGCTGGATGAAGTTAGTGCAATTAAGTTTAAATGATAGAGATATAGTTATTTTTCCAAGGCTCAATGGAGGGGGTGCTAAGCTGTATAGAGGAGGTGCTAGGTTGGATGAAGTTCGAACAAGTTTAAATGATGGAGATAGATGGAGTTAATATTTCTAAGGCCTATTATGGAGGGGGTGCTAGGCTGTATAGAGGGGGTGCTAGGTTGGATGAAGTTCGAACAAGTTTAAATAATGGAGATAGATGGAGTTAATATTTCTAAGGCCTATTATGGAGGGGGTGCTAGGCTGTATAGAGAGGGTGCTAGGCTGGATGAAGTTAGTGCAATTAAGTTTGAATGATGGAGATATAGTTATTTTTCCAAGGCTCAATGGAGGGGGTGCTAGGCTGTATAGAGAGGGTGCTAGGCTGGATGAAGTTAGTGCAATTAAGTTTAAATGATGGAGATATAGTTATTTTTCCAAGGCTCAATGGAGGGGGTGCTAAGCTGTATAGAGGAGGTGCTAGGTTGGATGAAGTTCGAACAAGTTTAAATGATGGAGATAGATGGAGTTAATATTTCTAAGGCTCAATGGAGGGGGTGCTAAGCTGTGTAGAGGAGGTGCTAGGTTGGATGAAGTTCGAACAAGTTTAAATGATGGAGATGGATGGAGTTAATATTTCTAAGGCTTAATATGGAGGGGGTGCTAGGCTGTATAGAGGAGGTGCTAGGTTGGATGAAGTTCGAGCAAGTTTAAATGATGGATAGTGATGGAGTTAATATTTCTATTGCTCAATATAATTAATGGAGGGGTGCTATCAAGCTAGGATATTATATATGGAGTTATATGAGCGAGAACAATTAATGACTGAAGTTCTTCAAAATGAGACATATAATAGGTATATAGGTAGGTAGGTAGGTAGGTAGGTAGGTAAGTATATGTAGGTATATAGGTAGGTATATATATATAGTCGGGGTGTAGGTACGGCCGTACGTACAACGAAAATAGATTATAGAGGCGACAACGTTAACATAGATACCCGCTAAATGGTAAAGGGTAGAGTAGGCGTGGCGAGTTCGTAGCGAGTTCGTGACGTCATATACTCATGTTTATTCATGAGGCCGCAATACCGGTACCTTGGCACCTTAGTACGCTACCTAACTGGTTGAGCTACCTGTGCTGTGTTGCACGGAATTTGACGAACATATTTTGTTTTCATCCACAGCATATCAATGGTCATCCTAACCTTTAAATTTCTTTCATACTTTGGCACCCATACTTTTAAGCCCATACTAAGTTCATATCACAGACAAACGGAAGTATTTAAGACAAGTTAAACTCACTCTCTTTGCAGTTTCATAACTCGCGGTTAGTTGATTGCATGCGCACATATTCCCGGACCAATTACGGTATCCTCAAGAAAGCGAACAATAAAAAGAAAATAGATTAGTGAACCTTTTACTTAACAAGTGCCCCTTCCCCTTTCAATAAGTACCCCTTTTAACTCGGATAAGCGCACCTTTTTCGCATGTGCCCCTTTTCCTTATGATAATTGCCCCTTTTTAAATCTGAGAGATGCTTGTTTTTATTTGACTAGTGCCCCTTCCCCTCCTGATTAGTGCTCTTTTCATCTCTAATGACTATAAAATGAGTGTCCCTTTCTGTAGTCTTTCACCTCTAATAACTGCCCCTCAGTTTATTTCAACACGTTCCCCTTTTCCTTTCTATATAATAAATGCTCTTTATCCTTTTAATACGTGCCCCTTCCCTTTCTCATAATTACCTCTTTTAATCTCTGATAAGTGCCCCGATTATTTTAACATATGTGCCTCTTTTCCTTTTTAATTAATGCTTTTTTTTCCCTTTTTAATAAAAGCCACTTCCCTTACTCATAAGAGCCCCCTTTCACCTCCGATAAATACCCCAATTAAAATCTGATCGGTGCCCCTTTTCTTTTAACAAATGCACATTTTCTGTTATAAGTGCCCCTTTTTCACTCTGAAAAGTGCCCTTTTCATATTTGGTCAGTACCCCTTTTCAGGTGCGAACAGTGCCCCTTTTCACCTCTAATAATTTCCCTTTTAACAATGGTTATATGACGCTTTCTTTTTCTCACAAGGGACCTATCTCCTTTTCTTAAAAGATTTTTAGTATGTGTTTAATCTTGTTATTGAAAACAAGATCAAACACATCATCATAATCTATAGTGCAACCAAAACATTCTTAACAACAATTGAATTTTTTTCAGGAAGCCTATACAATAAAAGCTGTTTTTGATTCCGAGAGTATCGTAGAGACGATGAACACATAAGCATAATAATACAACGTCTATATAAGCGTGAGACTGTTCAGTTCTATCTCTCCCCGCAGTTATCCGATCAAAAGAATCAACCAAGGGGAATCAACTGTTTAACGAATTTATCATGAGTCCTTGATAGATTAAGTAATACTGCTTGTCAAGTGTTATTGAAGAGCAGCAAAGGCGAACGCGATTGTCGCTACAATTCAGAAATCGTTGCTTGAACTGCTTTTCTCTCAAAATTACCGTGAGATATATATATTAAGCTACATAGAACCAGGGTTTGTGATAAGCTATGATCGACAAACAATATATTGTCTTGGAAACAGTCAGAAACATTAGAACTTGAATGAATAAAACATAATGCAAATAGATAAGACTAGAATGAATAGGACACAAGTTCATTTTTACCATTTAAATCATCCATGCAGCAACAATGATTCATGACAATTGTCAATTGTCATGATTTTATCGTCTAGACGTATTGCAAAAGGTAATCAGGATAACAAGGATCAGAATGACATTTATACTACACTCTAAGGAAAAAGGGTGCAAAATAAGAGTTTGCACCCTTTACTTAAAAATGATCCCTATTGAAGGGAAAGGGTTTAAAAAAGTGTGCAGTATAAGATTTTGCACCCTTCCCACAAAAATGAATCCTATCGACCAAAAAAGGGTGCAAAATAAAAGTTTGCATATTGCATGCATATTCAGGATTACTTTCCACGTGTTCACAAAAAAATACATTTATCATGATTTTTTAAGCAAATTATGACAATGCACATCAATTTTGTGATTTCTATTTTCCTTTGGCAATCATTAACCAATATATTATTTTGTCTGATCATGTTACAATTACATTCACGTTTTAGCAATAGATATCTCGATTATTATGATTACTAACCAAGAAACACCATGCATGTTTAATATGTATCTTTGTAAGAGCAAATTTTACCAGTATTCCTCGATGATGGGTGCAGAATTGCACCTTTTAAAGGGTGCAGGATTGAACTCCTAAATATGCTACTTTTGCATCGGTTTGCATCCCTAAAGGAGCAGGATTGAACCAGGGTACTATTGTCTCCTAAAAGGTGCAATCTTGCAACCTCTTAAAGGGTGCAGGATTGAACCCAAAAATGTGCTGCTAGTGTTGCATCGGTTTGCACCCCTATAAAGGTGCAGGAATGAACCATAAAGGGTACTATTTCCCCTAAAAGGGTCAATCTGGCACCCTTTTAAAGGGTGCAGGATTGCACCTTTAAAAAGGGTGCAGGATTTAACCCCTAAAGGTGCTGCTATTTGCACCGTTAAAGGTGCATACTTGCACCCTTTTTCGCTCATCTATAAAGAACCGTATATATTATTTAGTTTCGAAGAATCGAAGCAGTTTACTCAATAACAGGAACCTTTTTCAACCAGCACAGTGAACTTGCAGTAGAGCAGGGGAACCAGGGGGGGGGGGGGGGGGTGGAGCATGGGTGCCCCAAGCCCTCACATTTCATAAGAACGAACTGTGTCCCTTTATTCATATTATAATCATACTCGTTTTCAAAACTACCAAATGTCCCATCCAGCCATTTCTATACAACAATGTAATAAGAAGTGTGCCTTTTTTGTATACACTAAAGCGTTTGCCCCTCTTAACAACCATGTAAGTATTTCGATGTGATTCGATCCGATCTGATTTGATCCGATCTGATCTGATCTGATCCGATCCGATTTGTTCTGATTTGAATCGATAATCAAAATTTAGGTCACATTAATTAGGCTCTTTGGCAATTGAGGCATTCATTTACATTTGCCACTCCATACCCAGAAGAGAAATGAAGACCTGGTAGGAAGCTGACAGCATTTGTGTTAGTAATAATCCCCAGGGAGTGTAGACGGTGCACACTCTACGTGAATGAATCCGATGACCGGGGTCAAGAGACGGTATCTCATATTACGCGCTATACAAATCTAAATTATTATTACATCTTGCGAGATCGCCTACCGACGCACAGTGGGCCAGGGAGGAACCAAAATCGGCCAAAACTCATTTTGGGGGATATATTTTTTTATAAATCCAGAGGAAATGTTTGAATTTCCAGGGATTTCCGCTTAAATTTTATTACCAACATTTTTTCTGATGTCTAAGCTTGAGATTTGGCTGCCCGATTTTGCCCGTTGTCATGTAAGAGTCGTTTTCCATTGCAACATTGCCTCGAAAAATGTGTTTATTTTTGTGTCCGCGGTGTCAGAACCAGAGCCATCTATTTTTTTGTTTTAAATGATATTTCATTTCCTTCCTCATAATTTCACATAACAAGAAATTATCAAAATAAGCAATATAAAACAAAATCTTTGATACAAGACACTTCATGAATTACATCAATCAATGAACAACATACAACAAATCTCAGATTATACATGATTCTACATTTTGTCCTTGCATGTAACAGTGTATAATCAAAATAAAAGTACCAACAAAATCATGATACCCCCCCCCCCTTCTAGCCCACCCACACCACACCCCGTTTCACACACACAAACTCACACACACACTTTTATTTATTTTTTATTGATTCCAAACAATACAAATTAATTTGAGAAATAATGTACAGTTGTTTTTCCTTGACATGAATTCAAAACATTTACATTACATAAATTGTACTATTATTGATGAAAACAAAAATGAAATCAGTTGTAACATAACACAAAATAACCCCATCCAACCAAACACACTACCCCCCCCCCCCCCTCCCCCCCCCCCCCCCCCATGCGACACACACACACACACACACACACACACACAAAGTGTCACGCGCCTCCACGCGCCGTGATTTATGACCGCGAATCCTTCATGATTCAGCCGAGGACCAAAATAAACACATTTTTCGGGGCAATGTTGCAAGGCAAATCGGCTCTAACATAATGAACCGCAAAAAGCCGCAGCCAAATCTGGTATCAACTTAAAGCTTAGACATCAGAGAATGTTGGTAATACAATTTAAGCGGAAATCCTTGGATATCCAAACATTTCCTCTGGCTTTATAAAAAACATGGATAGTTAGTCCATTTTCGGTGAATTACCCTATAATATATTATGAAGATTGTGTTTGTATCCATTTTAACCCATTATTGCAGTGAAATGAACTATCATGATTACGTGAGAGAAAATTAATGTCATATCAATAACTTAAAAACGTCATGTTAAATTGAAAGATTTATTTTTAAAATGTCACTTTTGCGCTAAAACTGTGAATATGTAAGATTATGTTGTTTAAAGGAGTAAATTTATACCCTTATTGTGCATACCGGAATTAAATATTTTACTGAGGTATTCTTCAATGTATTATCTTTCAACTGGGCAAGAAGAAGAAAAAAAATCACCAAAAAGGCGTTTTGGCGCACTTCGGTTCTTCCCTGGTCCACTGTGCGACGAAGCGAGAAAATATGTTAAGTTTTGTAGTAATTGGAATATTGCATTTTAGAGACCAGGGGCCCGTTTCATAAAACTTTTTATCTATAACAATTAATGCTAAATTTCTATGACAAATATGCTCTCAGCCAATCAGATGCCATGATTTCAGTAGCTTATAACAGTAGCTTGTAACTTGTTATTGATATCAAGTTTTATGAAACAGGGATCAGAACCAACAAAGAGCTGATCCAGTGGCTTATCAAGAGATTGCTGCGCCCCTGTCTAAACTTGTCAGCCCGAAATAAATTTTTAAACAAACTAAAAAACAGTTTCCTCTCTTGAAGTTAATTCTTCACAATCACTTGCAAGATTATATGATATGATGAGTTTTCATTTGCTTACGGTGCTGCACACTCTTATTTCCACGGAGTCAAAATTCACTCTAAATGGCGTCAGCTGGGAGTCAACTCTATTCCTAGTTAAAGTGACACGGATTTAGAATCAATTTGACTCGGATTGTGTGGCATCAGCTGAGAATTGACTCAATTCAGAGTCAAGATGACTCCTTTTCCGTGTCACTTTAACTAGGAATAGAGTTGACTCCCAGCTGACGCCATTCAGAGTGAAATTTGACTCCGTGGAAATAAGAGTGCAGCTTCTCCAGAACTATATCTTAGCTGATAATAATTTCTGACCAAAACAAATCATTCGCTCTCT